TTTACACATTTTGTTATTTACATATTTACAACGGCTGATTACTTGTTATCTAAATGTGAATGTACAATACATATATATATATATAATAATTTATTTATTACAGGTACTTATATAGCGCCTTCAATTTACGCAGCGCTTTACATATAAATTGTACATTTATATCAGTCCCTAACACTCAAGGGGCATACAATCTAAGGTCCCTAACTCACATTCATACATACACAGACTAGGACCAATTTAGACAGGATCCAATTAACCTACCAGCATGTCTTTGGAGTGTGGGAGGAAACCGGAGTACCTGGAGGAAACCCATGCAGGCACAGGGAGAACATGCAAACTCCAGGCAGGTATTGACTTGGCTGGGATTCAAACCAACGACCCTAGTGCTGCCAGGCGGAAGTGCTAACCATATATACATATATGTAAAGCAGTGCGGAAACTGACAGCGCTATATAAGTACCTATAATAAATAAAAATTAAATAAATAATAAATAAATGTAGCCACCTTCGAGACATTTGCTGTGCTACCTGTTGTAGTGGATTCCACCTGTTTCTGCCTTAGGCTAGCCATACATGTGAAGATTTAAAAATCACTTTTGTCAAGCTGGGTGATGTCTATAGGGCCACCCATGGCTCAAATTTCAGCAAATTCAGTGAGAATCAGACATAATTTGAGCTACGCATGGCTAGCATATGGTGATTGAGGAGAACTGGCTGCTATATAGAGCCACGTGGTCTCTGCAGAGAAGTTCCTTGTGATAAATTGCATGTCTCTCATATTTCTAGAATTTTACTACTTTGCTGCCATATAGTACTGGTATATCTTCAGCTACCTGTTCATGTCATCAGGAAACAGTGTTATAGACTTTATTGTATATCTATAGAAAGACTGTTCAGCTACAGAGGATATCAGGGGTGGACTGACAACTCATGGGGCCCCCGGGCAATAGGGGATCATGGGGCCCCTGTGTCCTTGCCCAAACTCAAAAAAGCCTATGAAAAAGGTACCAGGGGCATCTCATGGGGCCCCCTACTGACCCCGGGCCCTCGGGCAGTGCCCGAGTTTCCAAATGGTCAGTCCGCCCCTGAATATGTTTATGTAATTTTTTTGGCCTTTGAAAAAGTAATTAAAATAATATATATCATGCAACTATGATAAGCTACAGGTTCATAGCTGGAATAGTTTACAGTTTACAAATGGTCAGTCCGCCCCTGGAGGATACATACAATTTCTTTACAGTAGTGTCTGCTAGATAAAGTAAAGTGTCTGGGAAGAGACTTTATGTCCAGAGCTCCAGAGCTTAGTAAATGAGGTAAAGCTCTATTTTGTAAGGAATACCTAATCACATGCAAGGAACATTTAAAAAACAGCATTTTTGTTTGTACATGATTGGATGATGAAAGTTAGCAGAGCTTCTGCTCATTTACTAACCCTTGGAGCAACTGCTCTTGCAGAGTGCAACTGAACTTAGCAAAGTGCACAGTCTATTTGCTTTTAGTAAATCAACCCCATCATGGCAATATTCCCCTAGTGCTTGGCATCCTAAAGATACAGTGGGGTTGATTTATTAAAGGTAAATGCACTTTTGTGCTGCAAGTGCAGTTGCTTTAGAGATGAGGGGAAACTCTGAAATGAGGTGACGCTCTCCTGATTTCTTTCATCCAATCATGTGCAAGCAAAAATTCTGTTTTTTTATTTTCCTTGCATGTTCCCCTCAAATCTAGAGCAACTGCACTTTCAGTGCACTTGCAGTGCTCAGCCTATTTGCCTTTAGTAAATTGGCCCTAATGTATTGGTTACTAAGTTGTTGCTTTGGAAATAAATTTGTTGTGCAGTTGTTCAAGGTCTCAATGCAGACATGTGAACTCACCAACGAACAAGCTAGGGACTTATAGGTAACTTAGCTAGACAGGGGAAAGTTAACTGCTGTATCACATCTGCTGATGGACGGTTTAATGCTAATTCTGTAATGCATCCTAGACTATACAGAAAAACCATTAGGACTATGCCTATATGACTTAGTCAAGTGACAAGATACAATCCCTCTCTGCTTCTCAGAAAGGTTCAGTGTCTGATGGTGTAGAGACTACTGTAACGTAGCACTACCCCCTTAGGGGTCGCTAAGTTTTTGGGTCCCCCTACAGTCCTTCACAGCCAGGCAACACGCATCTTCTTTATCCACGCTTGCACACCAAGACAGTAACCAGTCCTTAGGCTTGTTTTTGTGATTTTATTAAAGGGTATTGAACTTGGATGGGGTTGAGGGATACATGGGATGCCCAAGGAACTGTGAACTGTGAGGATAAACTATGTACAAGTCTATGGACAGGAAGCAAAATCTTCTTCTTCTTTTTGAGCACTCCTGCTCTCCAGTGTATATCTTCAGGCCCCAAATGAATCCTCCTCTTCACCCAGCAGTACTAAGAGTATTCCCTGGTTAAGAGTATCCAGAAACTGCCCAAAGATTAAACAGTCCAACAGCTGAGCAACTAGTTGGGCTAGTCTCCGCCTGATAGCCCTCTCCCCTTGTCCGGCCCAGGGGGTGTAAAGTTACTCACAATGTCCTCCCTAATAGCTTTATGGGTTGATGATGCCTTCGGGCCTTCTGCTGGGTTGGCTCCTTCCTATCTGTTCAGGCTGTCCCTCTAATTAGGCGATGGCACAGTGGAGGTCTCCTCTTCCAGCACCTGCCTGTAGGTAGGCCCTTCCCTGGGCCCCCTCCCAGGTGCCACACTCCAGCCTCCTACTCCATTTTCAATCCGACACACATTGACTCACTTCCTGCTGATCAGACTGTATCATATCTGTCCTGATCCCATGCCAAGCCTCCTGCTTAGGGATTGGTCAAGATCAATCAGATATGCAGATCAGCCCCTCCTAATTCTCACCCACTGCCTTCTAGAAACTTCTCAAGTCTCTAGAGCAGGGGGAGATATCAGGGAACTGATTTGTAGAGCCCTCAGCCCTGACCCGAGCCGACCTAGCTGACTTATATCCAGGCTGACTCATACCCAGGCTGCTAGTCAACCTCTGCCTAAATACCTACTCTATTTCCCCCTAGCTAACTAAAGGGGTGCTACAGTAAAAACCTTAAAGTTCTCACTTGACTCACAAGAGAATGGAGATATTGAGGGGGTCCACCAATCTTTCAGGCAGTAGAGGAACTGCACCCAATAGTGATTCACATTCCAAGTTGTTCTACACCTTAATTTTTTAAGAGCTGTGGATTTTGGAAACCCCCTCTGATCTGGAGAGGAAGGTTTTGAGACCTGAATGGATCCAGCTTTCCAAACTCTAGAAGAGCGGAATATGTTCGATGTGCAGAAGAAGCAGAGAATCACTGAACTTCTGAAAGTCTAGAGCTCAGAAAGCAGCACTGTATGGCTTTATTTACTCTAACGTACTCTATGCTGTATAATTAGATACAGTCAGTGTTCAAGTAAAAAAAAGGATACAGCTTTGCTGCAGGGAAATTTTGGAATATGTCTTTTCCGGGTAAAAGTTCTCTTTTGTAATTGTGATTGCAATATACCGTAGCCATAGCTTTGTTACATCCTTTGAGAGACATAGTGTTGTTGATGTTAAGCTCGTGGCAGAAGACCAGTGATCAGGTAATGCAGAAGATCACCACTTACAATGTTTTAATGAACCAAGGCCTCCCCCAACAATCAGACATCCGCAGAGACTCACTTATGATAAGGCAAAGCATCCAAAAAACTATGACGATTGCTTATTGAAAACTCATCAAACAGTATACATGTTTCCCTAGCCACCTGACTAACTGGTGTCACCTATCCCATCCAAGTCAATAGAGATTAGTGGGATGTACCCTTTGAGTGCAAAATTCCTGTTCAGTTAATGGTTTGTTAATGTTGTGTGAAATTGTTATGCTGTTAGCCATATGCTTCCTCTTGAGAGGACCCAAAAATGTATGTGAGTTTGGGTGGGAGTATAAATACATAGAAATATTTGCCATGCTACCTGTTGTGTAGGTGTTCAGTAGAACAATTTCACTTTGCCAACTGACATTTGCATCATTGTGGGTCAGCAACTGTTTACAATTTCACACAAACTGTTTCCTACCACTAGAGGTTACTCTGTTTGCATGCAAAAGATTTCAGACTATCCCAAAATGGCCACCACTAATTACCTCCAGTGGAGGGGCTTTGAAAAATGGAGACACGTGCCAGCTTTCAAATTGTGTGAGTTCAAATGGAGAACAGCCTGGGAAGGAAAAGATGGGCAGAAAAATCTTCTGAAAGAAGAACTCTTGTGTGGATTGTTCAGTTCAGTTTCCTGTTGTTCAGTGCCTAGAGGATATCGCTAAAACACTGGAGTGGATTCCACCTATTTCCTCTGTTTGCTGAAGAGGACTGAGGAGAGCTGACTGCCACATTGTAAGTTTCACATGGTCAGAGAGAACCAGAATAAGTCTTAGTCAAGGAGTGAGAGGCCAATCGTCTCTGAAACAAGATAATAAGATAGATTGGGCAGAAATATGACCTTTAATAGTGCTGCGAGCCAAACGCTGGCCAAGGCCTAGCCATTTTCCCATTCACCAGTTTTTCAATATTTGTAGTTATTTTTTTATTTTTTTTACATTATTCACAAATTATCTTTTTTTTTTTTTTTTTTTTTTAATTGTTATCTTCTCTTCATAAGGCTGTTCCTGTCCTGGACAAACAAACACGGGAAGGAACGGCAAGGCATTTCCTTTTTCAAACCCCAATATTGGTCTTCAAAGCTCAATATCGCTCTGGAGGGCAGTGAAGTGTGGAGCAGTCAGGGCAGGCAGCCTCCTAGCACTATGGAGCTTCGAAGAAAAATATTGGTGTTTGAAAGGGGGAATATTGTGATTCAATCACACATCTGGGATTTCTGGGAAATTGCTGTGAGACCAGTGGTGTATTTAGGTTTTGTGCCACCCTAGGAAACACAAAAATCTCCCCCCCCCCCGGCAGCAGAGAGAGCCTGACAGCGATCAACACCAGCCCCCCCCCCCCCCACGCAGAGAGAACCTGACACTGACCAACAACACCCCTGCCCCCCTCCCCCAACCTGAGAGAGCCTTCCACTAACACACCCACCCCCCGACGAAAGAGAGAGAGAGACACTGACCTTCACAGCTCTGGACATCCCCGGGAACGACAATCGTGCTCTGCATACACCATCAAGCAGCCCGCAGCCTCTCTCGGATCCCACTTGGTCCCTGAGCTGCATATGTCCTTTCTTCCAGGGGGCAGTGCTGCCCCCCTAAAAAATGCCACCCTAGGCAAATGCCTTGTTTGCCTTGTGGTAAATACCCCCCTGTGTGAGACCTCTGTAAATGTGGAGTCTGTTGCCTTGGTAAGCATTTGGTGTGCAGGTAGAGAAGCACTGGATGGACTTTTACATGGAGAATTCACATGTCTTCTGAATCATGGTGTTTTTTTACACATTGATGGTCTTTACAGTTTATTATCACTATTTTTTGTCACTGATAGATATTGAGCATTGTGATTCACATTGATTACAAATGATCATGTGTCTAATATTGTAAGATGGTTGTTGCATCTCTAAATTTATAATTGCACAACATTTGAATTTATAATTTAAAGAGACAGTGCAACATGTTTCTGTTTATATATGTTAATTTTTTTTGTGTCTAAATAATAGTGAGTGCCACTGTCCCATAGTATACTTATGGCAGGGTGAGCACTTTAGCGCAGTTTTATGTTTTATTTGTCAGCAACAACTGCCTGATACGCTCTAATCATCCCAAGGTAAAGGTTATACAGTAAGTCCCCTACATACAAATGAGTTCTATTCCGAGGGCACATTTCTAAGTCCAATTTGTTTGTAAGTCCAACGAAGTTAGCTTAGGTACACAATTGGCCAAATACATTACTGTAATAGGTTCATAACATATTTTACACAAATAATACTTTGGGAAGAAAGGTTGAAATAAAGAAACAGCACTGTATACAGTAAAGTAAATAGAAGCACAACCACTTGTAGATGATACATGCATAAGAAAGTATGCCAGAAATGTGAACTAACTCACACGATTGGACATGGAAGCGCATGTTTGTATTTTGAATAGTTCACAACTTGAAAGTTGGTATGTAGGGGACTAACTGTAATCTAAAAGAAATGGTCAGCATCAGGACATTTGTAATCAGGGAGAATTGTCCCAAATGTACTACAGATAAGAGTACAGGCAATTGTTTTACTAGAAGAAATAGGAAATTTCAGTGTTTAGGAAAGAAAAGTATAAAATTGGCCACAGGACACTTGTAAATAGTAATTTAGGCCCAAATCTACTACAAAGAGCACAGGTAGGGGTTTATCTACAAGAAATAGGAGACCGCAGTTGACACACTTTGTGTGAAACTGGCCAGCAGTAGGACAATTCTAAATAGCAAGACTAGGCACAATTCATCAGACACAAAGAGCACAGGATGGAGCTTTACTACAAGTGTGAAATGTAAAGGATACAGCAGTGTAATACTGACCAGCAGCAGGTCAGTCTTTATTTAAAAATAATAGGCCTAACCGATATATCCCTAAATTTTATTTCATCTACAAAGATAGAGGATGCGTTGAATGTGAATGATGTAACTATGGTTGCCACCTCATCATCCATTTAAAACAGAACACATATTAACCACTTGCCCTCCAGAGGAGTTACCCCCCCTCCCCTTCCTGACAAGGCCTTTTTTTGCAATACGGCGCTGCAATTGCTTGGTCATGCAATGCTGCACCCAAATTAAATTCATGTCCTTTTTTTCCCACAGAGCTTTCTTTCGATGGTATTTGATCACCTGTGTGTTTTTTATGCTATAAACAAAAAAAAGACCAACAATTTTGAAAAAAGAAAAAAACAATAATTTTTGACTTTTTGCTGTAATACATATTCAGAAAAAAAATGTAAAAATAAAATTTCTTCATAAATGTAGGCCAAAATGTATTCTGCTACATGTCTTTGCTAAAAAAAAAATCTCAATACATGTAAATGAATTGGTTTACGTGAAAGTTATAGAGTCTATAAAGGGTGGTATATATACTGGAATTTTTTTTTTTTTAATAATAGTAATGGTGGCGATCAGCGACTTATAGCGGACTGCGGTGGGCATTCTGACACTGGGAGGAGGGACTGACTAACTGCCACTGACATCTCAGTGACACTAATACAGTGATCAGTGCTAATACAAAGCACTGACACTGTACTAATGACACTGGGCAAGAAGGGGTTAACATTTGGGGCGATCAAAAGGTGTGCTGTTTTACATAATGTGCTGTGTGTGTTTTACTATGTGTGCTATGTTGTGTTTTACTAGGGAGACGTGCTGCTGCGTATTTCTCTGCTGTGCAGAGAAATACACAGCAGCATGTTCTTGCTGGCAGGAGATAGACCTGTGTTGTTTACACACAGGTCTCTCCCCTGTCAGTGTTATTTGGCGATTGCCGGGTGCCAGCGGGGAATCTCTGGCTGGGACCCAGTAATTGACATCCGTAGCCGCCAATGGCAGCACGGGTAGGGTGATGCACACACATGCCCCCTACCCAGAAATACAAATCATGTACAGTATCTCACAGAAGTGAGTACACTCCTCACAGTTTTTAAATATTTTATTCTATCTTTTCATGTGACAACACTGAATAAATGACACTTTGCTACAATGTGACGTAGTGAGTGGACAGCTTGTATAACAGTGTAAATTTGCTGTTCCCTCAAAATAACTCAACACACAGCCATTAATGTCTAAACCGCTGGCAACAAAAGTGGATACACCCCTAAGTGAAAATGTCCAAATTGGGCCCAATTAGCCATTTTCCCTCCCCGATGTCATGTGACTCATTAGTGTTACAAGGTTTCAGGTGTGAATGGGGAGCAGGTGTGTTAAATTTGGTGTTATCGCTCTCATTCTCTCATACTGGTCACTGGAAGTTCAGCATGGCACCTCATGGCAAAGAACTCTCTGAGGATCTTGAAAAAAGAATTGTTGCTCTACATAAAGATGGCCTAGGCTATAAGAAGATTGCCAAGACCCTGAAAGTTGAGTGCACGTGCTAAGAAGTTGTCTTTGAGAAATAGACATATGAGTGCTGCTAGCATTGCTGCAGAGGTTGAAGGGGTGGGGGGGTCAGCCTGTCAGTGCTCAGACCATACACCACACACTGCATCAAATTGGTCTGCATGGCTGTTGTCCCAGGAGGAAGCCTCTTCTAAAGATGATGCACAAGAAAGCCCACAAAAACAGTTTACTGAAGACAAGCAGACTAAGGACATGGATTACTGGAACCATGTCCTGTGGTCTGATGACACCAAGATAAACTTATTTGGTTCAGATGGTGTCAAGCGTGTGTGGCGGCAACCAGGTGAGGAGTATACAAAGACAAGTGTGTCTTGCCTACAGTCAAGCATTATGGTGGGAGTGTCATGGTCTGGGGCTGCATGAGTGCTGCTGGCACTGGGGAGCTACAGTTCATTGAGGGAACCATGAATGCCAACATGTACTGTGACATACTGAAGTAGAGCATGATCCCCTCCCTATGGAGACTGGGCCGAAGGACAGTATTCCAACATGATAACGACCCCAACACACCTCCAAGTCGACCACTGCCTTGCTAAAGAAGCTGAGGGTAAAGGTAATGGACTGGCTGAGCATGTCTACAGACCTAAACCCTATTGAGCATCTGTGGGGCTTCCTCAAATGGAAGGTGGAGGAGCGCAAGTTCTCTAACATCCACCAGCTCCGTGATGTCATCATGGAGGAGTGGAAGAGGACTCCAGTGGTAACCTGTGAAGCTCTGGTGAACTCCATGCCCAGGAGGGTTAATGCAGTGCTGTAAAATAATGGTGGCCGCACAAAAATATTGACACTTTGGGCCCAATTTGGACATTTTCACTTAGGGGCGTACTCACTTTTGTTGCCATCAGTTTAGACATTAATGGCTGTGTTGAGTTATTTTGAGGGGACAGCACATTTACACTGTTATACAAGCTGTACACTCAATACTTTACATTGTAGCAAAGTGTCATTTCTTCAGTGTTGTCACATGAAAAGACAGAATAAAATATTTACAAAAATGTGAGGGGTGTTCTCACTTCTGTGAGATACTGTATATATACATGACTTTGCACAGCCTTGCCTCCCTGTAGCAGTATTTCTGCTATAGGGCGGGGGGGAGGTTAATTACACAGGTTCTGGGGCTAATTTAATTCAGATAAGGCAGTAAGTGGGTTTAATTACCACCTTAATCAATCTATGAAACTGTAATTAATGTGTGTTCAGTTTTAAAGGAATAAGGTGGCAACCCTAGATGTAACGTTACATGGTTTAGGTGCACACTGTTCTTGCACGTATTTTCTTTTTCTTTGAAATGATGCAAAATAAAATGAAGTAGCTTAGGTGTTTACAATTGAAGAGCTAGTTATCAGTCAGTTCTTGCAGGCAGGTATTGATCATCTGTGTACACAGGCAGGATATATAAGAAAAATGTACCCCAGAACTTTAATTCAAACAATTCAAGCATACTTTACTAAAGCAGATGTAAACCCAACCACTAAATTCTCATATAAGGTTTAACAGCTGGTGATACTGATGTAAGGGCCTTGTTTTGCAACCAGCAAAAATGAGGAAATACACCCTATGAAAAACACATGCATTCTGCTTTGTACAAATCACTCTCTCTCTCCACCACCACCAAATTGCCCAAGATACAAAGAATTTTGTTACCTAAAGGACATTCAGAAAGGCTGTACATCCACTTTAAGAGACCAGTACTTACATTAATCTGTCCCTATTCACTTTATCAGAAGCACTCCCTATGACTTCCCTATCCAAACTTTTTATAGTGATGGGGGCTGGCTTAGAAAAATGCCCATTTATTGCCCATTTATTGACCCTTCTAAGCCATCTGAACAAAGTTCAAGTGCCAGGATGTGCATTATTGATTGGTGATTGTTAATGAGGTAAATTTGTACATTATATCACCATGTCCATGAAGTGTGAATGGGTTGGGTTTGCCTCTATCCTATGCTTGATCCTAACCCAAACCTCATCTCTACCATTACAAGTTATATTCCCTCCTTCTTAGAAAAGCGTGGAGTATTAGGATGCTGCAACAACAGCCAAGAGTACTCACACTTACAATATGATGTGATCACTTTAATCTACACTCACCGGCCATTTTTAGGCTTTATTAGGTACACCTGTTCAATTTCTTGGTAACGCAAATTGCTAATCAGCCAATCACATGGCAGCAACTCAATGCATTTAGGCATCTAGATGTGATGAAGATGACTTTCTGAAGTTCAAACCGAGCATC